CCGCACGCCCGTCCCGCAACGGGAGGGTGCGGGCGCCTGGCTCAGCTGGAAGGTATTAGTCATGGCTCGACTCGCTTCTTCGTCTGGCTGCCGGCTACTCCCTGCTTCCCAGTTGTTTCCCAGCACTTTTAGCCGCAGTAAAAGCTCGTTCAGACTTTCACGAAACAGAGCACAGGACGGTTTTGAAGTACAGAGAGCTCCCTGAGCAACATACTGAGTCACCTCACTCCCTTCTCCCCAAAATCTTAGCTTCTGCCTCAGTTTCTTCTTCCTACAAACACCCCATCCTTATCCCCCTGACTCACACAACAGTTCAATTAAGCACAACCAGCCGTTCTCTACAAAGCAGCCTCTGCAATGCGCGGCTTTAAAAACGCTGTGCGCTCCGCTTCGGTAAGCAGAAGGGAAAGGTGAGGGAATTGAAGCGCCCAGCTCCGGGGCTGATACTTACCTCGCTCCTCGGCGCTTTGCGGAGAGCAAGGAGGGAGGAACTGACGCAACTTTTGCTGTTGTACACATGGTGCCCACTGGAGGGAGAAGCGGGTTGTGATGTTTTCACTTCGTCTCGGGACAGGTTTTCTGGACTCACAGAGCAGCACTCTGTAGGCGATCCGACCCGGCTTACGGGAGATGCAAATATCCCACATAAACCTGCTGATGCCAGAGGCAGCTTTCACTTCTTACCGTTGATCACATAACCACTCAGCAGGGTTTAGCACAGAGCGAGGAAGTGGTTGCCACTGAAAGATCCAGACAAAAATGAGGCACTACGAAAGTCTGGAGTTTGCCAATAGTTTCTCCATTCCTGAACTGGACAGGGAGTGATAGTGAGCACATTGCTGCCTCCTTGCTACCTCATCTGGGGATTAACCCCACCCCCCAGCAGGGTCTATTGATGTCGAAAAAGTCAGGTCTGACTCCGTGTGTAGATCAGCTACTCGCACACCGGGTAAAGGGCCTCACTTTTGGGACAACAATGCCAGCAGAGGCCGTGGTGGCACGGTCTAGGAAGTACAGCCTTAGTTGCATCCCAGGGGCAGCACTAGACGTTTTTGCCCTAGTTACCCTTGTAACAGATCACTAGAAGAGGTCAATGAGCTAAAGCCTACCTTCCTTAGTGCCTAGAAGGAAGCTGAATGACAGAGGGTGTACCTCTTCCCCATTCCTCCCAGGAAAGACTGGGTTGTCCACAAAAAGGGGTAGCTAGAATAGTCCTTGTGCTCCTGGGT